GGCACGCCGCCCGTGCCGTGTCGCCGGTGCTCTTTGCCAGGCTGGTCATGACGTCGGCGAGCAAAAAGTCGGACCACGTGATCGGCTGCAGCGGCACCAGCACCCGCAGCAGCGTCCGGACAAACAGCCGCCGCGCGGGGCGCGCCAGCACGTCCCAGGGCCAGAGCAGGGCCGCCGCAAAGGACGCGTAGAGCAGCGGCGGCGCGAGGAGGGGCAGCAGGTCGCGGCCCGCCGGGTCGAACGGCGGCGGGGCCGCCGCGCCGGGGGCCGCGTCCAGGGGCGGCGGGGGCGGGCCGGGAGAGGCGAGGCACAGCAGCGCGCAGGCGGCGACGGCGGTGGCGGACAGGAGGGAGAACGCCGCCGCCAGCTGCGTTGCGAGGCCGGTGGGGGGCGAGGGAACACAAACGATGGTGACGCGAGGGTTTCAGGTCTCACGGCCCTGTTCATGGATGCAGCCAACAGATCCAGCTGCGTCGAGTGCCGTCGCGGGCGATATGCCGCGTGGCCTGTGCTGCTGCTGCCCCAGCTGCTCCGCGCGCCGCCTCACCTTGCACAGGCCCGCCGCGGACGGCAGCTGCCTCTGGTCGCGCTCGGGAAAGCAGGCGGCGTACGGGATGCGCCGCGCCTCGAAGCACGCCACGCACTGCGCCCACAGCCAGACGGCGAGCAGCGGCGGCGCCAGCGGCTGGAAGAACGTCCACATGAGCTTGGCGCCGTGCTGGTCGAGGCGCGGCAGCGCCCACGCCAGCGAGAGCGCGCACGCCAGCCCCCATGCTGCCGCCAGGGCTGCCTGGTGGCGGGGCGTCAACCGCGGCGGCATCGTTTGGATGGCCGGTACATCTGGCGCGTGCAATCCTCGGTTGAACTCATGTACTTGGGATTCCTCATGCCATGCGTGTGCGGTGATGCATATGATCGCAAGCATGCGCCAGCGCTTGTGGCGCTTTGCTGCACATCAGATCCTGTGCTGATGGTTGACAGCTCAAGTTGCCCACCTGCAATCTGCCCCAGACCATGGCATTAGCTATCTACAAGTCATAATTTTGAAGTCATTATTGCTTCGGGCCGCCTTCTGCGATCTAGCAGTGTTGCGAGGGGAGCTTTGTTTTCAAAGCAGACATTTTTCCGCATCATTCGCATCCTGCGATTGTAGGAGATTTTACTTGAGGGTAGCGCGTTAAGGACCGGCTCTGCGTGTCCTGCTGGCGAGGGCGTTACATGCACGCTTTGCACGCTGACCGCTGTCGACCAGGACAGCTTTGCAGGATCTCCTCAGCGCTCACGGGTCCTGGCTACAGCTCTATAGAAGAAAGATTTTGGCAAGCTGCCGCCATATGATATCTGGGCAAACCATCTCTGCGGGTGTCCAGGCCAAAGTTGGCACGATTGCTCTCAGCAAGCCCTTTCCTGGAGCTGGACCCTGACTGCAAAATCCCCCCGTGGTTGCTGTGCAATGGGTTTGCTGCGAGGCAAATGTAGGTGACCATGCTCGCGTCTGGACCCTCCCGGCATGCAGCCAGTATCCAAGAAATCGACGCTGCAGACGCGAGCGCGTGACACATGGCATTACACCTCCCCAGGCACAGCGCTGAACAGCTAAGCAAACATGTTTGGCGTGCAGTCGCGCCGATTGCAATATTCTAAGCACCGTGAGGGGCTCCAGCCGGGGCCCGGCTGTCGCCACGCATGCATCGGAGCACGACCAGCCTGACCAAACCAAGCACTGCCGCAGAGACGCATGTTGCCGCCCCGCCTCCTTCAGCGCGAGCGCCGCCTGCAGGCGCGTCACTCCTCGTCCTTCTCCTCGCCCTCCTCGACCTCGTCAGCGTCGTCCTCGTCCTCCTCGGGCTCCTCCTCCGCCTCCTCCTCCTCGGCCGCGGGGGCGGCGATGGGCTCCCCAAGGAAGCCGCCCAGCACACTGGACTTGGCGGCCATCTCAGAGACCTGCATCCAGGCCAAGAAAGACGTTGGCATTAATAAGGCAGGTTATTGACAATGGAGAAAGGGCCGGGAACCAAGGGGGCTGTCATTGCAGCCAACGCAACTGCAAGTTGCGGGGTGGCTTGCTCTATGCAAGGCAGCATGTCTGCATGCTGATGCACATACACATCCCAGCCGCATCGAATGGCTGGCCTGCGAGCAACCAGCCGCACCTTGTTGGCCGCGACGCCGCCGCTGGAGATCATGCGCTCGAGGCGGGCGCGCTCCGTGGCAAAGTACTCGGATCCCTGTGAGGGCAGTACGGGTGAGGGTGGGTCCAGGGCTGGCATCGGACGCAACCCCAAACATGTATGCACGAGAACATAAGACTACAACACGGCAGGTCCCCACCTGAGCCGCCTCAGACGCCAGCGAAGCCAAGCTGCACACCAGCACCCCTCACTGGTTCACTGGTGAGAGGTGCTGCAGCACAGCATCCCTCGCTGGTGTTATCAAGGGCGGACACCGACGCACCCTATTATACACGACACCACCCACCTTGTCAAGAGCCTTCTTGGCAAGCTTCACGTACAGCTCGCCGTTGGCCTTGGCGTCGCCCTCCAGCTTCTTGGCGGCTTCCTCGAGCTCCCCAACCAGCTTCTTCAGATCATCTTTCGCGGCCTTGCCTGCCTTCTCGGCGATGGCATCCAGCTCGGCCACACGGGCGAAGCCCTGAGGTCCGCGCACGGCGGAGCAAGGACACAAATTGAATGCATGCTGAGTGCAGGTACTTCAAGTGGATGCCTTTAAGCCAGCCTTTGCTGCCTTGTTTCAGTCCCCTACAGTGCTGCACCACCGTCGCAAAAGCTGCTTCGTGTGCGCTCGCATGCTGCAGGGGCTTTGATCCGAATGACCAGAGCAGAGAGTGTGCAAACACGAATGCACAGTCAAGCCCAGGGCGCTCAATTATATGCGCCGCACCTTGTCGCCCTCGAGCTTGCCCTTGAGGAAGGCCAGCATCGCATCGCTGCTGCGGCCGCCGTTGTAGCTGCGCAGCAGTTGCATCGGGCAGCAGCACAGAAGGGGTTGTGCATGAGCCGAAGTGCAGCAGGCGCGCCCGATCGAGGCCGCGCATGAGGGGGCCCTGGCAAAGCGACGCCCATGGCGCCCTCCTGGACACGGCTTAGCCCGCCCTTGCAGCGGCCTTGTGGGTGCCACTGCGCCTGTGCCTTATCCACACGCCCCAGGGGGTCTCCTCCCGGGCAAGCCCAGCGGCAGCCGAAGAGACTCACTCCTGGGCGGAGTCCTTGGTGGCGGGCTTGCCGCGGGGGAAGAACTTGATGGTGGGGAAGCCTTGGACCTGTGACGCATTTGGCAGATTCGGATGATGGCAAACGGCAGGGCGGGCAGACGGACGGTCAGTTGTGCGGTTGTGTGTCGGGAGCAGCAGGAAGAAGTGGCAGCCGCACGAGGGGTCAAAAACGGCTCGCTTCGGCGGGCAGCAGCGACGGGGGAGCTATTGCCTATGGGGGAGCACGCGGGTGGGTGCATGCGACGTTGGCTGTGGAGCGCTCACGTCGAACCTCGAGCCCAGAGGGTTGTGCGCATCCGCGTCGACCTGGTTTTGAGGGCGGAGGGCGTTGATGCGGGGTGCCATGTCTGTCGACGCTCGGGTGCTGGGCGCACATGGTGCGTGGTGCCTCCGAAGCGCTCCCCGTTCGCACTGCAAGGCGGCGCCTGCAGCTGCACGACATGCATGGGACACAGCAGGCCGCACGGGCGCGCCCTGGGCCCTGCCCTGGACCAACCTTCGCAATGACGAGGCGCGAAGCCAGAGCAGGGTCAGCCTCAACCGCCGCGCCCAACTTCTTGTACTCTGGGGTCAGGTGCTTGCAGTGGCCGCACCTGGTTAGGTGTTGGCCGGATGGCACAGAGCATGTTGTGGGGGAGGAGTGCGAGCGCCACGAGGGGTCAGCAAGAGCGCACCTGCGGCACACAGGATTCATGGCAATAAGATTGTATCTGTGCGCACCAGGGGGCGTAGAACTCGACGAGCGCGGCCTTGCCACCATTGACCACCTTGTCGAAAGTCTCGGGTGCTGCGATGAGGGGGATACAAGATCACGGCCCAAGCAACTGTGATCACATAGGTTGGCTTACTTTGTTGGAGTGGCTGCCTGTCATCTGTGCGCCGCAGCCGCCATGCTTGTGCGCACAGACTGCAGGGGCGCTCTACCACTGCATGCAGTGCATGCGCCAACAGAGCGGGTGGGAAAAGCTCTGCTGCGAGTCCAGCCACAGCACAGCACTCCCTGATCGTTATGATGGAAACACATGATCACTCGTAACGACCCTCAGGCCATTTGTCACCCGCAAACGACGATCAGCGCGAACCAACTCACTCAGATCCTGCACGCCGGGCAAGGAAGTCGTCGGATCATCCGCAAGGCAGACCCCCAGGAATGCCAAGGCCACGAAAATCAACGCTGCCCTCGCCATCGTACGCGGTCAGATCAAACAGATCGGAAAGATGCGTCTCCGCCGGGGCTAAGGCTATGATCGAAGCAAACGACAGTTCAGATGAGTGCTGTGACGTGGGCTCAAGAGCGCGGCATATAGGTGCATGCACAAAAAGTTGACCGTTGGTAATGTAGCATGACTGATTTCACGCGGCGCCGTGCTGGTGCTAGCGTGAGCGCCAACGCCACCACAGAGTCGGCGCTTGCGTGGCCCACACCGCTTCACAAAGGGCTGTGTGATACGTGTGGAGCGCACAGCAGGTGCCATGGGATACACGCCTGGTGAGCCGAGCACGCAGTACTGTAGGTCCATGTTGCGTTATTGTCAGCATGCTGCATGCCATTACTGAGTCCGCGGGCCTGCTCCCCACCTACGTGGTAACACCTTACCCACACATGATCGCTGCATGGCACTGATATATGTGCATCGCATCAGGTTGTTCTGGTCCGCAGCCACGCCTACTGCGGTAGGCAATGGTGACAGGTGGTTGGGCGTGTGGCCGCTGCGTTACCCATGGAGGCGTAAATGTACACACTCCATGGATTTTGCATCATTTAGCGCGCATGTCATGTGGCGTTGCGGATGCAGAGGAGCGACCGCGTCCCATCTGCGCTTGTCCCTCCATGCGCTGCCATCCATGCCCGCTGGCCGCACACATGTGCGTCCTTTGCGCTGTGTCCGTTTGAGACTTGTTTGAAGGTAGCACACTGAACCGGTTGTGGGGTTTCAGCAGCGGGGACAAGGGATGCTCTAGCGCCCCAGACCCTGTACCAACCCTGAGGACCATCAGCCCTGCTCGCTTTGCAGGTGTTGGCGCCAATCAGCACCATTTGCACTTTTGTCATGCAGGCCGTGTCTCAGGCGCCCGCTGACCCATCGCAGGCCATGGGGACTAGGATCCCATGTCGCCGTCATCGTCGGCAACAGCGACTGCGCAGCGGCGGTGGTGGCCGCCACTGCGCTGGTAACAGAGGCCGTGAGGAGTATCACGACTGCGCCACCCTAATTTCTCAGAGGACCAGCTAAAGGGCTTGTCGTTCCTGATGATGGGTGGCCGAGTTACACTCGGTGACTCGTATCAGCTTGTCAGACGTACCGATCACGTAGACCACGGTTTGGTATGTCTCCTGGAGCTCTTGATCAGTGAAACGATGCGCACGGGGCCTCGGCCAAGCTCTGAATTCGTCATCCCACCAAAGCGTCCACCGTGAGGCGTGTCAAAGTATCCTCAATCATCATCAATATGGGAGCCGCCGTCCTGTTGCAGGATGGCGTGCCTGTGGACGCCCCAGCCTTGCCCGGCCATGTCCTGGCGCAGCGCAGCGGAGGCGCATACACCACTGCGCTCGTGCTGCCCGGGCAGAAGATCGTGGATTGGGAGCTTCACCTCGAACGCCTTGCGAGGTGCGTGCACACGTGGGCGCGGTGCTTGTGCGGCCTGCGCAACCGCCAGTTCTGCTTGTGGGGTGCACCCAGGTCGCTGCCGCCAGCTTCTATGCTCCACAGCTGCGCACGCCCCGCCGCCGCCGCATGCACACAGCAACATCGAGTGCCTTCACCGGGAGCGTGAGCCCAGGAGTTTCGAGGCCGCTTTGCAGTGTTGCAAGCTTCAGGTCTGTTGTTCAGTAGCAGGGGGGGCAACGGTTGCGCCGGGGTGTGACGGCCCAAGCTTTAGCGCAAGAGGCTGCAAGCAGGTTCCTCCAATCATCCATCGCCATCATAAAGTGAGCACTCTCATTACGCGATCAGATCCCCATGACCTGGCGTTCGCCCCTCCCGCAGGGCCGTCCTTTGAGGGAAATTGTGCAGCAGCTAGTCGAGCCGCAGGTGAAGGCGGCCCTCGCCCTCCTGGACGCGCGGCTGCCGCCGCCACCGCAGCAGCAGCAGCAGCAGCAGCAGCAGCAGCAGCAGCAGCAGCATGTGGGGCAGGAGGGCAGTGCGGCCATGCTTGTGGTGGTTCTCACAGAGCCCCCTGGAGGCCCTCCCTCATCCCAGTCAGCGGCGGCGGCCACAACGTCAACAAGCAGCGGCGACGCTGGCGTCGGCGGCGTGCCCGCTGGCAGCGCGGCCGCCGCGGCGCCGCCCCTGTCGGTGACGGTGTTCTGCAAGGCCATGGCGCTTGAGGAGCCCGAGGCAGGCAGGGTGAGAGGGGCGGGGCGCACCCGATGGAGTCTTTGCAGCCGTCCCGGGGACGGGCGTCGGTTAGGCAGCAGCCGGGACATGGAGGAGTATTTTGTTGAGGGCCAATGCTTAGGCAAATCACCCTGGCGCCAGCAGCGCTTGGACCTCGCAGAGATCGTGCCTTTATTCTGCAGCAACCTCCATAGCCCAAGCGCCATCGCCGCATGCAAGCAGCGCTTGAGCGCGGCCAGGGCCCACGCGGCGCGCAGGTCGTCGCACGCGGCGCGCCCCGCCAGTGGGCGCGCGCCAAGCACTGCTCATGGGTTTTGCAGCGCCGCGAGCTTGAGGCTTCCAAGCCGCCTGGGGTTGCAGAGGTGGTGCTGGTGGACGAGCGGGGCGGCCTCCTCGAGGGGCTGGTGACAAACTTCTACGTGGTCGCAGGTGGCCGGCGGGTGACGGGCGGGGCGGCGGGGCGGCGCCCACGGGGTGACGTACTCCCCCGTCTGCTCGATTGGCAGGCTGCTGCGCGCTTGCTCGTGGGGCGGCGGCCAGGGGGTTCTCCGTGCCGCATTCCTGCTGCTAGGATATCCCTTGACCAGTGCTGCTGCGCGGCGCGCCCTGCCGCAGAGGCGCCGCAGAGCAATGGCGGGGACACTGGGGCCGCCCCCTCGGCGCCGCCAAGAGCCGCGTCGGCAGACCTGAGCCGGTTCGAGCTGCAGACGGCAACGGGCGCCGGCGGGGAGGCGCTGCCCGGCACGTCGCAGCGGCGCGTGCTCGAGGCGGCGAGGGCGATGGGGCTGCGCGTCCGCGCGGGCGCGCCGCTCTGCGAGGAGCGGGGGACGTGGCGGGAGGCCTTCATCACGAATAGGTGTGTGTGCATGGGGCGCCGTTCCAGTGCAGACTTGGCGCGGCGCGCGCCGAGGGATTGGTTGCAGTACTGCTTGCATGATGGTCGCGCGGGCCTGTGTGGAACCATCGCGCCATTGTTACAGCCATGACTACCAGCCACAATCAACCTGTCTTGGTAGCCTAAGAGCATGCACCCGTTGCTGCTGCCACACCAACTCAACCCTCTTCTCCAACTGTTTTTGTCGCACCATGCGATGCGTGCGCGCAGCCTCAGAGGCCTGCAGCCGGTCAGCAGCGTTGCATTCTGGCCAGGTGAGATGATGCGACTGTGCAATTGAGGATCCAGAAGACAAGATTTTTGGCATGAAGCATGTGCTTGTGTCTGGCCTGCCTTGTGGCGTCTGACTTGCTCATGTTGTCTGGTAAGGCTTTTTGTGTGGATGTATGCGGGCTGTGGCCGCGCCACGTTTTACATCACCTGTGACGCCGTGCCATCATGCTTTGCATGCGCCCCGCAGACGGCCCCAGCCCCAAGTGGGAGCAGCAGCTGGCCGCTGGCGGCGGCGGGGACAGCAACGCCGCCGGCGGGGCGGGCCCGGTGACGCTGCTGCTGAGGGCCACGGTGGAGCGCCTGCGGCAGCTGACGCCCGCACCTGACCTGCCAGGCCCAGGCGCGCCGCACTGACGCCCGGTCGACGCGACGCGTTGCAAGGATTGGCAGCGCGCTTGTGTGCGTGCCGCATGCCATGGGCAGGGGCGCGCGGCTGAATTAGCAGGCCCGGTCCTGTTGCACATTCGCACATGACTTGGAGGCACCTGATTCAACCTGCCAAGCTTGCTGTGACACTCAACATCATCGCAGTTTACCATTGGACAGAGAGCAGGTCGCAGACGGGTTTACCCCCCCCCCTCTGTGCCTAGCATGCAGCTCACATCTTGCACAGTTATGCACTGCACCTGCACCGGCACGTCAAGCAGACGCTGATTGCTGCAGCGGGTAGCACAGTCAGCTGCCTGCCGGGGCAAGGAGGGCGGCTGTCAGACCTTTCCACCCATTTTGCTGGACAAGGCACCCATCTTCCAAGCCGGTCCCTCGCAGCTTGGCAGCTTGGAGGGGCAACTGGACGGCTGTTTGACTTATGGGTACCTGTCTGGCATCTTCATTCATGTCTGTTATGACGACGGAAAATCGACACATGCACACAAACATACATGCACACAATGTGATTTGAGCACACGACTTTCACACATGTTGCGTGAAGATGCTGACGCCAAGGCCTGGCGCGTTGCAAATATTCATTTCCATGCCTGCCTACCCTGAAGTCATCGCACAAGCCGGAGGATGCAGCAGCATGGAGGTCACCCGTCAACCCTTGAGGTCAGCAGTCCAGACACTCGCGAAGCTGATGATGCAAATCTTCCATCAGCTGCACCAGATCAGCGGACACCGGCGATCCCGCCGCTGCCATCGCACCTGTATCACCGGCTGGCCTGCAATTCAAAGGGCACATTTGATCTCGCCGAGGGTGTCTGACTGGATTCGACTCGTTACAGGTTTGGCTGACCCTCAAGCAAGAGCCGCCCAGTCTGGCAGATTATTTTGGAGGGTGGGGATGGCTCCTTGGCACTGGAAATTACAGGGGCGGGGACTGGGAGCCGCAGGCTGTCCGCACGGGGCGCACTGCTTGCTCAAGGCAAGGGGCCGCCTGCCTGCTGTGCAAAAAGATGCGGTGCGTCGGAGTCGCTCGCAAGGAGCGAACGTGCTGACAAGGCCGGCACACCCTCGGTGACAGCCTGCCATGGCATGCAACAATCTTAAGGTACCTAGCTTGGCAGGGCCCACAAGACACGTCAACAGACTGTGATCCGAAAGCAGCTACCAAAGCTGCATACTGAGGCCAACGAAAGCCAGCGCGCCAGTTCGACGACTCAGCACGCCCGCTGCCCCCCGCGACCACGCACGCAAAAGCGCCGCGTCACCAGCGCCCCTCGACCTCCGGGATGCGATGCACCGGGCGCCCCTTCTGGTTCTGATCTATGATCTCCCGCGCCAGCGGCACCTGCTTCCCCAGCACCAGCACGCTCACCACGCCCCTGCCGCCCGCGCCGCGCGCGGTGCGGCCCGCGCGGCGCACATATTCCGACGGGTCCCGCGGAAAGTCGAACAGCACCACATGCTCGCAGTACACCGAGTCTATGCCGCGAGACGTGCGGTCGGTGCAGACCAGCACGACCGGCGGCGTGGTGGGGGCGGCGAGGAGGGACGCGGGGGACAGGAACGCGGCGAGGGCGGCGGCGCGGTCGGACTCCTTGATGGCCTCGTGGTAGGCGTAGACCTGACGGGGTGTTCGATTTCGTGGGTGTGGGGTTAATTGGTTGTGGGGTCCAGGTGGCGCGTTTCAGGCGCAGTCAACGCGCGAAACGCGAGGCCAGCCAAATGCCGCGGTTGCACAGAAAGCGCAGTCGGAGGAGTGACAGCTGCGGTCGGGCTGCGCTTTGGTGTGCCCAGGGTCGGAGGCTCCGGCGGGCGCGACACAGTCACGACACCTGGCAGGACGCGGGATGGCCGCCACAGGACAGAGACAGCCGGTCCAAACAAGTGATGCTCAACAAACGTTCCCCGAAAGCAAGCTCAAGCTCACCTGCAGCTTCCCTTTGCTGCCCGTCACGCCCTCCTGCTGCTGCCCCTGCTGCCGCCCCTGCCACCCCGCTTGCCCTTGCTCCTGCCCCTGCCTGTACCGCTGCTCCTGCTGCCCCCCCTGCCCCCGCCACTGCTGCTGCCCCTGCCCCTGCTGCTGCTGCTGCGGCGG